TAAAACATGGTTTACATTTAGCTCACTGAAGTTGGAGTTCAATCGGTTTGACCAACTTTGCCAGACATTTGCAATTAAAAATGTCAATGATTCTGTGCACGAGGTGCAGTCGCTCCTATCTATTCACGTTTGATCGCCCTTCATCAGCTTGACTTGATATTTTTTCAGATAGCCTTGAAAATCAGCAGTGACATCACGTCTTTTGCACTCACTGCTTTATCGGGAAATATCCTGCAATGCAGCGACGAATTCAAAGTTACATTAAATCCTGAAGAAACTGTTCAAGTATCGGTTCAATTTATTCCTGAAAACTATGGCACCACGAGTCACAGTATTCCTATATTTGTGGGCAAGTTTTCCGAAACCCAAGCATTTAACCATCTGCAGCTGCAAGAAGAATACACTCAGCCGAGAATGAGTAGCTACAAACACGCCATATATTTAACCCCAACTTCCGCTGGCATTTCCGACTAACGACAGTCTTAGTCGGAAAGCACGGGAGATCACTTCGCCCACTGCCTCATCGCCTTTGATAATGTCCACCGCAGTTGTGGACGAAACGTCAGGACGAAATTCCCATAGACCAGGGCTTCAAAGCCCGGAAAACATTCCTAAATGTGATTTAACCGGCCGGAAAGCCTTCATAGTTTAATTGATTTGTTTGTTATATTCCGTTTTATAACCATGAAACGGTACCAATTGGTTCATTGTAAGTGAGTTGACATGTAATAGACTTGAGCTCAAGGTCCAAATATCGGTGTTTGTCATCAGCGCAACTGTGAAGAGAATGGAGGACATGCAAGATTTGCCTTTCGGCTACCCCCTAGTTCTCGCCTATGGCTCCTTTGACCTCCAGCCGTTTCCAGCAATCACCGACTATCTCCCAAAATTACTATCGCAGAAGACCCACTCCACCCCCTGCCAAACCAGCACGGAGGATGGGGAGCCGCAGTGAGCTGAAAAGTTGTCCCAAATCGCTTTACTTTGGTCCAATGCCTTAGTCTCCGCTTGTTTACATAGCTGATGCAGCTTCAGACCCCTTCTATACATGTTTTGATCCTACGCACTAGTTTGCTGGGTATTCCCAACTCTATCAATGTCTCCCATAGCCTGACTCTAATGATACTATGGGGTTCTTGTCGGAAGTCGACGAAGAGGTTACGGAGGCCTCCGGCACTTTTCTATGAGGTGTAGCATGGTAAAAAGCTGCTCCGTAGCGGATCTGCCGCCTCTGACATTCTCTTGCAAATTCTTCTGCGTAGGGAGATTGCAGGAGGATATTTGAGAGGATTTTGCATGCGTTGTTCAGCAGAGCAATCAAAAATAGCTGCATATATGGCCTAAGAAGCCCTCATAAATGGTTTCCTTACCCAGAGTCAACGTATTTCAATATTGATTGATCCATTAAATTTACTAACAACTGTATCAGAGGAAGAAGGGGAAAGGATATTTTTTCAGATCGTCCATGTTTGTCACTGTCGTCAAGCAAATCTACTGGGTACCTTGAACAAGCAATACAATACAGCGTTCTATATGAGCTATTATATATAAGAACTATCAGTAAAGTATATTGAAATACACCTGGCTATATCCATCGGAATCTTGTAGTAATTTTGATAAAAATATCCTTGCGAGTACAACCATCTTTCAATAATCGCTACAACGGTACGCAATTCATTAGCGTAGTTTGAGGTATCATTGTCAGCAGGAAAGAGGGGATATGTGGATTCATAGGTATCCAAGCCGTCCATCATGCAGTTGATCACGGCCGATGTATCACAACAAGCAAAAATATCTACTGTAACTGTAGTGTTGCATGAGCAAAAAAACTTTGCTTTAGTTTCAATGCGACAATCTAAAATAATATTTAAATTACTAACAACATGGAAGGGCAGACTTAAACATGAAATACAGCGTGTCTGTACAATGTCTGTACAAAATCTGACTACGGATCCTGCAGATGAAAATATAGAAAAGCGAAAAGTAGAATTAAAACATCGAAGCAAAAATAATAATTTTGCTTGTAAAGCTACTATCTGAACGAAGTCTTGTCTCAGGGGGATTTAGGATGCGAAAAATTAGCTGCGGTTAACCTTTTTTATGCACATTGAAGAGGACGCTGTGGGACATCTGTGAATCCTATTTAAAATAGCGTATTCTTTTATCGTTCAATATAACAATTGTTGATGAATTCTATATTGTTGAGGCGGATTCATTTTTTTACAAACTTCTTTTTGGGTATTTCGCCT